CTTTATCACCCCTGTTGGAATTAAGAATATCGACATTGCATAGGTCATTTGGGATTGAGCCACCGATTTGATGATAACTTCTTTCCCAGCAATAGATAGCAACTTGCTCTTCCATTGTTTTACCTTGCTTCATACTCTATCCACTAGATAGCCAAACACAGCCTTCTTTCCCCTTCCTACTTTTGTTGGAAGGCCTAAGTATTTTTCATGAAAGGGCACACACCTCATCCCTAGAACATCCGCCAATTCTTGTCTTTTGTCCATCTCCACATTTGGACTAAAAGACAATTCAGATTTCGTCAAATTTACTTGCTGGCCAGACTCTTGTTCATAGAGGGTCAGTATGCTCTTCAATTGCTCACATTCCTGCTTAGTTGCATTAATGAAAAGAATGCTGTCATCCGCAAACAGGAGGTGAGAGATTGTAGGAGCTCCTCCTTTAACTTTCAGCCCTGTAATCTTCCTATCTCCCTCTGCCCTTGTAAGTAAACCAGATAATCCCTCTACCACTAGTAGGAAAAGGTATGGGGAGATAGGATCACCCTGCCTCAAACCTCTCGTAGGTTTAAACCACTCAGTTTTGTGCCCATTCACTAGGATACTATAGGAAACAGTAGACACACACTCCATCACTAGTTGTATCCATCGGTCATTGAATCCAAGTTTCCTCATTATAGCCTCCAGAAAGCCCCACTCCACCCTGTCATAAGCTTTTGTGATATCTAGCTTAGCTGCCAAGAGGCCTCTTTTCCCTTTCTTTTTCTGTTGCATTGAGTGGAAACATTCAAAAGCAACTAGAATGTTATCTGTAATCAATCTCCCCGGGACAAATGCACTTTGGTTAGGTGTAATGATATCGGGGAGTATCACCTTTAATCTGTTTGCCAAAACTTTTGAGAGAATCTTGTATAAGACTCTACACAAGCTGATAGGTCTATAGTCACCAGGGGTAGTTGGGATCTTCTTCTTAGGGATCAAGGTTATTAGGGTTCGATTTAGCTCTTCAGGGAACCTACCTGTTTCTAGATAGCCTTGTAAATCCTTTGTTACTTCATCTCCCACAATCTCCCAGTTCTTTTGAAAGAACAGGGCAGGCATCCCATCCTCACCAGGTGCTTTCAATGGTCCCATTTGCTTTAGGGCTGCCCAGATTTCTTCCCTTGTGAAAGGTTGCACCAACATCTCATTCATTTCCTCAGTCACCTTTCTTGGCACAGAATCAATGATACGGGTCCCTTGCACCCTGTTCTCAGTCGAGAACAGCCTTTTATAGAAGGATGTCAGACAGGCAGCTACCCTTTCCTGTCCTTCAAACATCTCCCCAGTTCCATCCTTTAGCTTCCTAATTGTATTTCTCTTTCTTCTCTCAGAAGCCCTATAGTGGAAGAACTTCGTGTTTTTGTCCCCCTCTTTTAGCCATTCAGCCCTGGATCTCTGTTTCCACTTCAACTCTTCAAGAGCCAGAATGTCCTCTAGCTCTTTCTCCAAGGCATCTCTCTGTTGAACTATGGCTGCAGTCTTATTCATCTTTTCAATGCGGCCAAGAATTCTCTCTATTTTCCTTTTCCTGTATCTTAGGCTTCCAAAAGTGGTTTGGCTCCATCTCTTTAGAGTACCCTCGCAATCTCTTATTCTATCCATCACTGAGCCATTTCTTGCTTTTTTCCATCCCTCCTCAACCACCCTTTTAATCTCTTGATGGTTTTGCCAGTATGCCTCATATCGAAAAGAGGATCCCCACTGTATTTCAGGCTCATTTAGTTGGGTTACCAAGAACAGGGGGTTATGATCTGAACCACATCGATTCATATGATAAACCCTTGCTTCTGGATACATATTCACCCACTCTTCTGTAGCCACCATACGATCTAATCTTTCCTCCAAGAATGTGTCATCCTTGTGATTATTATCCCACGTAAACCTTCTTCCATAAAAACCCAAATCTTCTAATCTGCACTCTTCCAGGGCTCTATTAAACCCTTCCATCTCTTTCTCTGCAGCTTCGAATTTCCCATTTTTCTCTGAGTAGCATTGGACAAGTTTAAAATCACCTGTCATAAGCCATGGTAGATCCACCAAATCCTTCAGTTGTGTAATTAGATTCCAGGTTCGGTGCTTATTCCTCTGCTCAGGCCATCCATACAGCCCCGTTAGTCTCCACTCCTTCTCCCATTCCCTAATTTTCATGTCTATGTGATTATCTGATGAACCTTTGATCTCTAGGTGGACCTCTGGTTGCCAAAGCACCATCAGCCCTCCTGATCTCCCATTCGAACCTACTCCGAAGCCATTGCTCCAACCCAGCTTGACCATTGTCTCCTTCCATTCATGGTGCATTCTTTTCGTCTCCATTAAGAAGACTATGTGAGGATTTTGTTTTTGAAGTAAAGACTTCACTTTCTTAATTGCCGAGGGGTTCCCCAACCCTCGACAATTGTAACTTAGCACATTCATTGGGCTCGGCGGCTCTGTTCCTCGACAGAGTCCGCCTTGTCGCCATCCACCTTTTGTTGAGACCCAATCTTTGTTCCATCCACCTCCCTTGAGAAGTTTAACACTTTAGCTTTCTTAGGATTCACTGGTTCATCCACTTCCATAGCCTTCTCTCTCTCTTGCATCTCTTTACTCCTCTTCTGTGGAGTAACCTGTATTCCTCTCGGCAGCCTTACTTTTTTCTGTTCTTGCCTCCTCCACACATTTGGAATAGTCCTCTTTATATTGAGCTCTGCCTCACTTCCTATGGTGAATTTCTGTAGAGCTCCAACTTTCCCAGGATCTTTCTCTATCCTTTGTTCCTTTACTAGAGCGCCTTGTTCAGTCTGGTTCTCCTGTTCTGTTTGTACCTTGTCTTGTACCTCCTTTTCAGTTCTGATGACTGTCTGCTCCACCTCCATGGCTGTATCTTCTTTCCTCGCTGAGCTTTTGTCATATTGTCCTTTGCCTGCCCTTCTCCCATGCCATTGCTGTCAAAATTAGAGCCTGTGCTATCAAGCTCGAATTTCTTTTTAAGCATCTCCCAAATTTCTGCATCTTCTTTCTTTGTCATGGTCGACTTCCAAATTCTAGGCCCGGGTGGCCCTGTTCTCATGTCCAAACCAAAGGGGTCTCCCCCCAGCCCTGATGGTTTAGGACATTTTAGCTTAGCATGCCCAATCCTTCCACATGAATGGCAAAACATTGGGAGTTTTTCATACTTTACCCCATACTCCACCAATTCTCCTCCGATATTTAACTTCAGTTTCTTCTTCAAGGGGTTCTTAATGGAGAGATTAACCCTAATCCGGAGATAATCGTCCCACATTGTCCCTGTGCTATTGTCGAACCACACTAAAGTCCCAAATCTCGTTGCAATTTTCTCTGCCATCTTCTGAGTTCGTAGTTCTGCTGGAAAGCCTTGAATTTGAACCCATAGATCTATCATATGCAGGTCTTCAGGTACTGGTTTCTTGATCAAGAAGCTAGATGCAAACACCATGATATTATTATCATAATGTCATGGCCCTCCATAGCATGCCTTATTCCTGTCATCCATATCCAGGAACTGAAAAGCGAAGATCTTATCTCCCAGGTCCGTTATTTGAAAGCTTTTCTTTGTGTTCCAAGCTTTTGTTAGCGCAATCTTCAGTGACTTAATATTTGGTTGTTTTTCAGCGACCAGTCTACCAAACAGCCCCAGCCTCCTGAATGCTTCCATCCTGACGACGTCAACATCAGAGTCTTCTACCATTAGTGGTTCCTCATCGTCATCCTCAATGTTGAACTTATCCATCTGATCAAGCAGATCACCCTCTGTATTAGGCGGAACTGAATCCGCTGTAGGGGAAGTCAAGGAGTCCCCCTTCTCAACACTCTCCTCCATTGAAACGATTTTGTGTGACCGTAAACCCTAATAACTTCGCACTGTATCTCAAATCTCTGTAACTCACAAAGCTCTCTAAAACTTGTGTACGTCCTTGTGATTGACAGCCTTGTGTTCCTTATATGTTGATCCACGCAGGCCTCTCGACCAAAACCTTGTCCCTTTGGAACTCGAAAATCTAATCTTTCTCGGAAACCCTAGGGTTCCGCCGCTATGCCACTCTCGCTAAACGAGAGAAAAATTCCCTCACATAATACTACAACTCATTGTTTACTATCCCAATACTTTCCCTTGTCCTCACAAGCAAATAACAAGGGGTTACTTTCAATTGCCTTGATAAGCAAGTGATCTCATGAACACATTTATAGGAAGAGGACTTGGCCGATAAAAATCCCGTGATCTAGGGCATCTCGGGTTGGGTTACGAAATTGAGGATTGATCGATGATTAAAGATTTGATAGAATTATGATAGGAAAGAATTAGAGATTTAGGACAAGAAAAACATAATTAGGGATTAAGGATTAAAGAGAAAATCATTGCGCAGAATTGGAAGAAATGGGTCGGTGGCCTTGATAGGAAGAAGAGAATCAGATTTAGAGGATTAGAGAGATTGTGGGTTTAGAGTAAACAAATTTTTGCTCCTTTGGACCTTGGTGAAGAAGAAAGGAAGAGGAAGTATCAAAAGTAGTTGTTCGTACAAATATGTGTAGATCAACAAGTCAACCGGTTTTCTAAAGTGGACAACCATTTTCTCTAAATTGCGGTGACTTATTATATAGTTTTTTTTTTTAAATGATGAACTACTTGTCAAATAATCGATCATGATTTTACACTATCTTACACAATTTTGTTAGTTATTTGGTTTGAACTAGATCGTTAAATACATGATTTAAGCTCTAATGCTTTTTTTTTTTTTTTACCAACTATGCAATTAACCCCTTTTTTCTTCTTTTTTTTTGGTGAGAATTGATATTTTAATATGCCTAGTTTCTTTCCGAAACTGAGGTTTATCCAGACTGATCTACACAATTTTTATATTTTTATTGAAATCAATATAATCAGTGGAAATTTCTTTGCGTTATTTGGCCAGATGACAATGAGCAAAAGGCCACACATACCAAGTGGCTTTCCTTTACCGTCACTGTTTCAGTAACAGTTTCGCTTAACAAATATATTCCATAAAATAAGTGATGTAAAATGAACAGAAGCGTACAAGAACTAGAGGGGTGAGCAAGACCGACGCGTACGTAACCTGGTTTGACAATTACAAAACCAGCAATCACGGTGTTGATAGAAACCAGAAGTAGCAGCTCTTAATTAGAACAACTACAACCAAGAAGCAGCAGCTCTTAATTAGCACAGCACAAGCCTCATAAGTCATAAGACGGCTCCCAACTCCAAAACAACCAAGCGAAGACAATCAGCAACACAGTGAAAATGTTCTATCTTGTTTCTTCCGGTGCCTCCTGTCCTTTTGAGCTTGAATTCTAACCAGCAAGACAGAACCAAGCAGCACATAGAAATAAGTCGACAGTAACGTACACATATAACTACACAGTAGCCAGTTTTCATAAGTTCATGTACCCCACCTTTACTATTAACCTTGATAATGTCAATATCGTGTCATTATTCTGCAACTGTATATTCAAGTAGCGGCAGGAACCGTGATGGAGAGTTTGAGGTCGGACAAACCGAGGTAGTTTGGAGGGGTCTGCCTGTCAAAAGTGAGGAAGATTCTCCTGTTCGGCTATAAATCAAACCCAGAAATTCAATCACATGAAAATTATCCCTCCTGGCCACCAAGTGTGCAAGCCTTGCCCATAAGAAGCAGCAACCCGAGCCTGAAGAGTCAAATCATGGTTAGAAGTGTTCCATATAGAATTTCCTTTTCTGTTTAGTGTTTTACATATTAGTACTTGTGCTTAGGACTTGTTTCATGAACCATTTATAGGAGAAACATGAAGTGGTGGAGGGGAAGGTGGACTGGAAGGGAAGACCAGCTCAGAAACACAAGCATGGAGGAGGCAGGACAGCTTTCTTCATCCTAGGCATGAGCCTAAACTAATGCACTTGATATTTTTTTAAAAAATAGTATCTGTAGTTCTTACCTCTTTGTAAGAGTCATGATGGAACTTGTACTTGATTTTGCAGTCGGGTTTGGCTGTGAAAACATAGCCACTCTTGGACTGGCAGTGAACTTGGTGACATATTTCAATGGGACGATGCACTTGGAAGTGGCAGAAGCAGCAAATCAGCTGACAAACTTCATGGGGGTAAGCAACATCCTCGCACTGCTAGTGGCTGTCCTTGCCGATACTTATATTGGTAGATTCAGAGCTGCCATCTTTTCAGCTTGCTTCGAGATGCTGGTAAGCTTAAGCCCTTTCTTCATGGATTATCATCTTTACTTGATGACACATAATATGAATCGAACATGAAAACCCCACTTGTGTTCAGGGACTAGCCCTGTTAGCAATCCAAGCCCATTTCCCCAAGATGAAGCCACCCTCTTGCAATGTTTTCGACCCAACTGTCCACTGTGAGAAAGTCGAAGGTAAAAATGCAGCATATCTATATGTTGCCCTCTACTTGCTCGCTGCTGGATCAGCAGGGCTCAGGGCATCATTACCGGCGCATGGTGCTGATCAATTCGATGAGAAAGACCCAAAGGAGGCCAGCCAGCGGTCCGGCTTCTTCAACTATCTGCTGCTGGCAGTGTGCACCGGTGGAGCAATCAGCTTAACACTCGTTGTTTGGATCCAAGACCACAGAGGATGGGACTGGGGCTTTGCGGTTAGCTGCATGGCAATTGGCTTCGCCATACTCATGATCTCCATCGGCCTGCCTTGGTACCGGATTCAACAAGTTGAAGGATCAACCGCCCTTACCGAGATCGTTCAGGTTTACCCACCATTGCAAATTTCATATCTTTGGTTCATCGGAAAAAGAACATTCACTAATCCAATTGGCCATTCTGCAGGTTTATGTTGCAGCCTTCAGGAACAGAAAGCTTCATCTTCCAGAAGACCCTTCAGATCTCTATGAGATAAGTGGAGACAAGAAGGCAGCAGTGGAAGTAGAATTTCTAGCTCACAGAGACTGTTTCAAGTTCCTAGACAAAGCAGCTATTCAATCACCATTACCAGCAACAGCAGAACAACCTGCCACTCTCCCTGAAAACCCTAATCCATGGAAACTGAGCAGAGTGACACAAGTGGAGAACGCTAAAATCGTGCTGGGGATGCTTCCAATTTTCTTCTGCACAATCATCATGACCCTCTGCCTAGCCCAGCTCCAAACTTTCTCAATCGAACAAGGTCTAACCATGGACACATCGATTACCAAATCATTTAAAGTCCCACCAGCTTCGCTACCGATAATCCCAATTGCCTTCCTGATCATCCTAGTCCCAATCTACGCCCATCTATTCGTACCTCTCATTCGCAAGCTCACCGGCCGTCCCACCGGGATAACTCACCTGCAACGGATCGGAGTAGGGCTTATCCTCTCCTGCATTTCAATGACCGCCGCCTCGATCATGGAGGTGAAACGAAAGGCCGTGGCGAGGGACCACGGGATGCTCGACGCGATACCGGTGTTGCAGCCGCTACCAATTAGCACATTCTGGCTGTCGATCCAGTTCTTCATATTCGGAGTCGCCGATCTGTTCACCTACATCGGCCTGCTGGAGTTCTTCTACTCGGAGGCGCCCCGAGCGCTCAAATCGATGTCGACTTGCTTCCTGTGGTGCTCCATGGCGCTCGGTTACTTCCTCAGCACGATAATGGTGAAGATTGTGAACAGAGCGACGGAGCATACCACTACGAGCGGCGGATGGCTGGCCGGAAACAACATCAACAGGAATCATCTGAACCTGTTTTATCTGCTACTGGCGGTCTTGAGCTTGATCAATTTCTGCATCTACCTCGTCGTCGCCAGCAGGTACCAGTACCGGCCACAGCCGCCTCCTCCGACCGATGTTGTTGTGGATACCGAGGCGAAGGCGGCGGCGACGGACGAAGTGAAAAACTGAACTGGGTTGGGCTTGGGCCGACTGTTGGGTTATCTCAAGTTTCCTCCTCCCGGCCCGATGACCTGCGAACGAAGAAAAAAAGGAAGGATTTCAAATAAGACTCGCAGTTTTGAATCGAGATTTGTGATTCTTTGCGACTTGCAATGACAAGAATTGGCCACTATTTTCTACTATTTTCAACTTTAATATTCAAAGAAAAATAGTATGGTATCTATATTTGGGATATAAATATGGTGTAGCATTGAAAAAAATTATAAAAAATTGATATATCCTAAAAAAAATACAAGAAATAAAACCGATGGGTCAAAAACTCAAATTTTGAACTTTATTCATATTCTCAAATAACATACTAGATGATCGTTCATTGTTTACATTCTTCTTTTGCCTTAATCTTTTGAAATGTACATTTTTTTCTTCATTGACTGTGATCTATATTTTTCAATATGATTTGGAATTGGATATTTCTAAAATTATTCATAGTTTGGATGTTTTCATGGAATGAAATTTATATTTTATTATTTTTATAATTCGCGTGTTCTAATTGAGTTGGCCCAAATAATATAAAAATGAAAGTTTGTCGTCATGTCAGATGACTAGTAAGCGGTGATTGGACTTTCCATTTATATTAATTGAATCAATTGACACAAATAATAATTTGTTCTTGGATTGTTATATTGAATAGTAGTTTATAACACAAGTAACATTTTTTTTTATAGTTGGGGTGTTGTAGTGGTATTCGTCCTATTATTCTTTACATCAAACATACTCTTGTACTTTGGAAAATTATCAAATATCTCATTCTATTAAAATTTTCATCCAAATACTGTCCCATGGCCGAACCATGACTTGGGCGATACAGATGTATACAATACCTTTTTAACATTTTTTGGTGCAAAGTACAAGAGTATGTTTGATGTAAAGAATAATAGGATGAATACCACTACAACACCCCAACTATAAAAAAAATGTCACTTTTGTTCTAAACTATTCAATATAACAATTCAAGAACAAATTATTATTTGTGAAAACTACAGAAGGTGGTGGTATTATTTCTATCCAACGTGTAGTGCCGTAGTGGGCGTAGCGGTGCAACTTTGGAACATATCCTCTTGGCGGCGGCAAATTTTGACAGCCATCAAGTCTGCAATCAGCCCAGGCTCCGGAATCTCCACAACAAAGCCGCCGCTACCGCCGTCCTCAGCCCTCATCGCCGGGGCTCGAAATCTCTGGCGGCGGAGGAACTGGGAAATTAGAGCTATGAGTTTGTTTTTAAGTTTTGAAAAATAAATAAATGAATGAAGGGTATTAGAGTAAATTTAATTTAATTAGGGCGATGAATAATGAATTTTAGGGCGATGAATAGCAATGCCCTTATAATTTCACTTTAACGAGACTTATACTAATACATGGAGGGGCAAAAATGACATTTTTCCTTCCATTTTGTCAAGGCCACGTTGTCCGACCCATTGTTCGACAATGTTTGGATGGAAAATTTAACATGAGAGCATGTTTGATAATTTTATAAAGTACGAGGTATGTTAATGTAAAATAATAGAGTGATATATTTTATAAAATGTATAATAGATGGACATATTATACTTATTAGGATAGTGTTCCCTTGCAAAAGCGTTTCCTTCCATGCTCAATCAACTACGTTAATCCAATCAACCACATTTGCATAAATTCCAGTTGGGTAACGATGACATTCATGGCTCTTTGAAGAGTTTGGTGGTCTTTCCATTCTCAATTACTCGAATAATAGCATTCTCCATTGTGTTCCTTACTTCCCAAAGGCTGGATCATATCATGATGGTTTACTACTTTTATGTGTCTTTATGAAGGTTGGCCGGGAAATAAAATCCCTTGAAAAGGAGACCCAATAACACATTTGGTAAAGTCATGATTCTCCATGTTGTTTTGCAAGGATTGCAAGATTGAATTCTCGAAAAGGGCAAAACCAAAATACTCCTGTTTTAGGAGCATACAAAACCATTCATGCTACCCAATGTATGGACTTCTAAATGATGGAGTCCAACTAGAAAAATCTCCTAAGCATAGCAGCGGCGGATCCAGGACATAGTAGAGCACTTGGCCGCATGTGAATAGAAAATTAGATACCGTAAACAAAATATAAACGATGACTATAGTTTTCATTACAATGTGAATTGTACATGACAGCTGTAGCGAATTCATCAAATCATGGAGTCTTCATCCATACCAATAACATACTCTATCTCAGAAAATAGTTAAGCAATCAGTGAGAAATTCATCGCTCATTTTGCTGCGTAAATAAGTTTTCACATGTTTAATTGCATAAAATGTTATCTCCATAGTAGCCATTGAAATGAGCTAGGTCAACATTACACGAATCAACCGACAAATCAATTTGTATTGTGTATCCATCTCTGTTTCCACTATTCTCTAGTTCTGAAAGAGAAGTGTGAGATTTAGTTTAGATTTTTTTTTATTTCAATGAAACTTTACGCTTTTAGTCTTTTACGTGTAAGGCTTTTAGGTTTCATTTTTTCAAATGAAAATTATTGGGGCTTGAATTTTTAGTCTAAATTTAGAATTGTGGTTTGTGAATATTCATCTAGACCATTTTTCAAGTTACACAAAATCATATTATTAAATAACATTAGATCAAATTTTAAATATTATTGAGCCAAACACCTAAAATTGAAAAATTCATACGCACTATACTAGCTCTGGATCGGAGGAGGGCTGGATCGTGGCCCTGGGTGGCCTAGCCCTAGATCCGCCACTGAAGCATAGTATCCCTCCTCTTCATAGTCGCCTTTAGCAGCAAAAAAGACACATAATAAAGATAGGGATGGCCTAAAGTAGGGGTGATAAACCGTAAACGGTTATGCCGTTAACGGTTTAACCGCTAACTGCACCGTTAATCGATAGTTAATGGTTAAACCGCTAAGGAGAATGCGGGTCGTTTTACGGAAGCTCGAAATCTCTTATCTGGTTACCTAGTCATAAGCGGTTAATAACCGACGGTTAACGGTTAACCGATTAATAACTGATAAGAGTTGTTTTATTTTTAATCAACCGTGCAACAATTAAAAAGATCATAATCCATCATGATTAACATTAAAAGCATATTAATATCTTAGTTGAAGATAGTGCTTACCATGATTATGTAAGACTATTAATAAGTACAGTAAAACAATAATAGAGGGTAATTCCCAAGAAACGGGATCAACTATAACCAAAAGCAATGTCCTGTAATTGAAGAAGTGCTCAGTAACATGGAAACATAATATTGCATATCATCCCTTTTGTGTCATAAGTAAAAAGAGTATGCTTTTCCTCTCGTGTGTCAATAAATAATACTACTTTTACACTGTAATTCTATGAAGCAAATTTAACTGGTGGCGAGAGTGAGGGAGAGATATCATCCAAATGGTTGATTAAAGAAAGAACAATAATGTGGGAGAGGGAGAGGATTCGTTTGGGAAACAAAGTCCCAAACAAAGTTGGGGATGATTGCCAGAGGAGAATGAGAATCATTAAAAGGAATTTTAAAATCTTTTACCGAGTTAGCAAGTCATAAACAGTTAATAAATGATGTTTAGTGGTGATTCAAATTCACAAACCTACTATCACTCTCTCTTTTAAGCGAATAGGCGGTTAACCGCTAAAATAATCGCTAAACGATTAACCACTAATCTCCTTTCCTCATGGTGACAGTAATTGAATTTTCTAGGATTCTGTCAATTTTTTCAATCTTTGAATCATGATGTGAAGGTTTCTTTCTATGATCTGCTGCCACTACAAAAAAGGAGATATTAACGAGGGGAAAAATTGCCGAGGGTATCAAAAACGTTCATTAAAAGACAGCTTTTCATTAACACTTGTCTATTAACGTGGGTCTTCTATTTCCCCTCGTTACTGTCTGAAACCTACGGTCGTTATTAGCCCAAGACCACTAACGATGGGCTGAAACCCCTCGTGATTACAGTCAATGAAATGTTTTTGAAAGCCCGCCTACTTTTATTTCACCTTGGCGGGTTTCAATGGAATTTTTTTTGAAAGCCCACCTACCTATTCACCTTGGCAGGTTCATTACACTTTCAGTTCAGATCCAATAAAGCGTATCCAATCCTAATTCCGCTAAGCGGTCGTCTGAAAGAATCCCACTCTCTTCCTTGTTCCTTCCATCCTCTTTGAAACCCTAGAGGAAAACTCAGCGAGAAATGTCTCTCTTCTTCTCAAAGACGAAGGCCACAGAGCAAAGAATCCCATCACCTTCGCCTCGCACAGGCACACACCTGCCGCCTCCGCCTACCACAACCGGAGCTAAATACGGGCGACTCCAGACAAGCACAAGTGTTACTGCGTTCTCCTCTTCTCCCGCCGGCTTGTTCCCTTCCTACCTCCGCCCTTTCTTATATCATCTCGTGGGACTCTCAGTGTTCGTATTGTGCTTGAGCTTATTCTTTTGTTCTTTCTCTTCTGAGTCAGCTGAAATAGAATTGATTTCTGGATGGTGGTCGCTGTCATGTCTGCTAGTTGGTATGGTAGAAACTGCAGCAGCTGCGAAAGGGAAGAAACAGAAGCGAAACTGTTAAGCTCTGCTGCTGGTAGATTACATATTCGTTCCCGGCTAGCTGCTGGTAATGTCATCGATCCGCTGGTAACAGGTAAGTATAGACTGAAATGAACTAGGATCAATCCTTTCTTTTTTTGGTAGGAATTTATTTCAAGATGGGAGAGGCCAATTAGTGGTAATGACACGAGCAATTAAAAAAAAGAGAGATAAGGATTAGGACATAATATATATGCTTCTCTGTTCAAAGCTCCTCTTTCATTCCTCTGCCCCCTCGCTCTTAATGGCTATTTGCTTGATTTTATTTTTTAGTTTGGATTTGATGATGCTTTCTTGTTTTGGGAATGCTTTTTGTAAATGGTAGGAGTAATTGCAGCTCAAATTAGAATTGAGGCTACTGGAAGGTCTCATTATTTACCCTCCCTTCAGGATCTACTGTTTGATCAAATGCTACATTGCACTGAAGGGAAATGCTCTTTTTCATGATGAGAAGCGAGTTTGGTAAGTATTTTTCATGGTGTATAAGAGACTGTCTATTTTTTTAGGTATTAAGTTCAGCTGTTGTTTTACATAAGTTCTTAGCATTGTTCCTGTAATGGTCCCTTGTCCTCATTGGTTGTACCGTAGTTCAAACTGCAATCTAAGTATTTGTTGGCTAGAATCAGTAAGTAATACTACAAGAACAAGAGCTATGGAAAAACAGAGTTGAAACAGGACATGATGTCTGTGCATTTTGCCTGTAAAATGCATCCTAAGTTCTGCCCCCACCCTCCCTATGGTTCTTTGATATGTACATTTAGTTTGGATTTTGTTGA